CCCCACCCCTGGGTGCGAGTTGTATGGATTTTTTGCAAAAGTTACGGATTTTTGAGGCTTTTTAGGTAAACATTAATACTTCATTATTGTTTTTTAAGACAAAGCTAATTGAAAGGGGCGCTGATCAGAGTTATACAACCAGGGATTACAAATAATTACCTTTTGTTCTGCAGTTTGGCGCCCCTCCAGCAGATGGCGGTCTAGGCAACCGCCTAGTTCGCCTATGCCAAGAGCCGGCTCTGAGTGACACTTCACACTTTTGTGATCCATCACATCAAACCGGGGGTTCATTTGCAAAGTATGTGGAGATAGAGCTGTTTAATTGTGCCTAGGTGTGAGTGAGAGAGTGTTTGTCTCTGTATGTCCCTGTGATGGACATGAGACCTGTACCCTGCCTTTTGCACAGTAACTGCTGGACATGGGCATCATAGGCCCTCATGACCCAAGACGCAGGTAAAGATAATTGATGTTTTAATCAAAACACTATATTTGCCTATTTCTCCATATACCACTGTTAGACTTAATCCATGTTTCATTGTGATGGGTCACATTTATCTAATTATGTTCTTTTTTAACATTTGTCTCTGATGGATCTTTCTTTTTTTATTAATTGTTGTGTAAAGTTTGTGTGAACGTGCTGGCCATCACCACTACTTGTTGCAAATTAATTGCCCTTCAGGGACCTGATGTAGTGAATCAAAACAAATTGAAGAACCCAGCAGAATCCTTGCTGCGAGACAACAGTCCTAACACACTTTGCTAGAGTACAGCTCACCAGAAATATGTCATAATGTTAGGCAAACCTTCATATGTTTGTTCAATATTTGTTTCCATTTTTCTACTTTTAGGACTCACAAGGAAGCAAAACTGAGGTCATACTGAAATATATGAAACTGTAAAAGATTTGCAAAGTTTCAAAAGTATACGTCATGTATCAAACTCAAGGGCTACGGGCCAAACCTGGCCCACGTTACCGGTTTTATCTGGCCCCAAAGACAATACTTAAATAAATTTATAGTTTCTCTCTTTGTCTCTGTTTTCAGTGCATTCTTCTCATGACAGCTGCTCAACTTTCAAGCCAACAGATTTAAGTTAGAATTTTTCAGTAATCTTAAATTTTTTGTGGGGGAAAAGTGACAGCGAATCACCTTCAATGATTTTTTTCTGTAACGTTAAGTAATTGGATTTTTAGTGACTCCTTTTTTTAACTGATTTGCTGGATTGTGATAAAATGTATTTTTAAGAAAATAAATCAAAACATTTTTGGTAGAGGGTGAGGCATGAGAAATGAATGCTAACAATTACACTTTTCAATTTATTCATTAAGTTATGTTTGTTCTCAATGCTACATAAAATATGGCTTGGAACAGGTAATTTGTATTTCTATATGTAACACTTCTTCAATAAATAACAGAAATTGGCTCTTGTCTTCGACCAAGTTTGGAATTTTGCACTCGTTGCACTCTAAAAATGAAATGTTGGATTTACTTAATCATGCTATGTTACCTGGTTCCACTTAACTGAGTTGAATAAATTCAAAGCAACATGCTCATGTTCTTTGGCTAAAAAACTGGTATATTGCTTTGAATTTACTCAACTCAGTTAAGTGGAACCAGGTAACATAACATGGTTAAGTAAATCCAACATTTCATTTTTTACAGTGTGTGTGTATCTGAGCTTGACACACCTGTTCTAAAATAAGCAGACAAACTTTATATACTGTAGCACCTTTCTCAGACAGCTTTACTGTCAACTTTGGGGTCAAAGTTGACAGTAAAAATAGTAAGAAACAAAAAAGGACAATAAAAACACAAATGAGAGTATCCAGAGTAGCAATGAGGCTAAAATACTTGTAAAAGAATATCTTAAGCTGCTTTTTGAAAGCATTAATGAGTCCAAGTGATGTTTACATAAGAGATATAAAGTGAATGTATTCACAAAGGAATAAGATTTATTGATGTACAAAACTTTTTCACTAAACTTTTACTGTTTACACTATTTTGATTTTATGGTCACCATATGATATAACTGCTGTCTCCATGCTTTAGAACCTGTGTGTTCCAATCTTATTTACTGTGGAAACAGGACATCCTAATGAGGTGTTGGTTTATGGTAATTTCCAACTACACCGAACTCCCACTCATATCATGACTATAGGAGGCTTTGAACCCTGTAATTAGTCAAAGATGCTGGCTGCTGTCCTCTTCAGTGGCTTTTTCTCCTCAGCGTGTCTCACAACAGGTGTTGATTTCTCCTCCAGATCTGACGCGTGACCAGCATTCAGCCGGTCCTGGGTCTGTAAGGCGTGACCACACACACACACACACACACACACACACACACACACACGCGCGCGCGCGCGCACACACACACACACACACACACACACACACACACACACACACACACACACGCGCGCGCGCGCGCGCACACACACACACACACACACACACACACACACACACACACACACACACACACACACGCGCGCGCGCGCACGCACACACACACACACACACACACACACACACACACACACACAGCTGCAGGCAGGAGCGTATGAACAGAAGAATGAGGTTAATCACTGTTTAATGCAACTGGTGCAGGTGATTGCGTAAAGATGGAGGCAGTCATGATCGGGGATGTGATGTGAGCACGCGCTGCTCGGGTTGGACGCAGGTTAAGTGAGGTGTGTTGATCCTGTCGCATCACTTCTCTCTTCTCACACTGCGGTGGAAACAGGAGCTTCTCCTGCAGACAAAACGCAGAGGGTTTTTATCCGTTTTTCTCCCTCTTGTGATGCCAGTTTGTTGTTTTCAGGAGAAATGAGGAAGATCATGAAGTTTTTTTTTTTTAATTTTCTTTTTGCTTTCCGTGCTGCAGGATCAGCACAGGACACAGGAGTGATGTGATCTGAGTTTGTTTAAAAATCCTCGCAGCAGCTCTGCTCTGTCGTGCTTTTCGCGCAGCAGCGGACTCGGACGTGACCTGTTGCAGCTTCATCCTCCTCCTCCTCCTCCTCTTCCTCTCTGATCTGAGCGCGCGGATGGAGAAAAAGGAGCAAATGGATTGTCAACTGAAGAGGAGTCACTTTCTAATTTTTTGGATTTGTGTCACGTTTTGATTAAAAATAAAAACAATGGAGTTTTTGGTTGCGCAAATGCTTCATTTAGAAGTTGGTAAAATGATGGAGTTGAACTGAAGCCGGATCTGTCCACGGCGCTGCTGTCACACCCTGCTTTCTGCGAGACTAAACCTCCACCTCTTCCCTTCTCCTTCCACCTGTCCACCCTCCCCACGGTTTTTTATATATATCTCGACAGAATGGCCCGGTTTGGAGACGACGTCCCGGGCTTGTTGAGTTCGGGGGATGGCGGCTCGGAGCGCAACCGGAACCGCGATGGCGCGGCGGTGTCCACAGGTGGGATCTCCCCAGCCTTCAAGCAGACCAAAGCGCAGCGCGCGCGCACCATGGCCCTGTACAACCCGATCCCCGTCCGGGAGAACTGCTTCACCGTCAACAGGTCGCTCTTCATCTTTGGAGAGGACAACGTGGTCCGGAAGTACGCCAAGAAAATCACAGAGTGGCCATATCCTTTTATTTATTTTATTATTATTATTATTATTATTATTATT